CCATGTCTCCGAGCAGCTCTTTTCTGTCATACCATTCCCATGTTTTCAAATGCATGCCTCAACGGTTCAGCCTCCATCTTGAAGAAAAATGCTGCAAGTGTAAAGTATAACTTCTAACTATAGATCATCTGCACTACCCACTTTATTCCTCTGATTAGTGAAGTTATGAATCTAAGAAAACAGTTGACAGTAGGGCCAGTCTTCCCAAAAAGAATGATACTTTTAAGACTTTATGTCAAAAGCAAGCCCTTACCAATAAATGTCACTTTGGAATGTGGGACTAAGGTTGAGAGACTGTGGACCTTGGGAGAAACCATTACCATCACATAAAGAATGCAACTTATCCAGATTAAGGGACATCTCCAGAAGCAACCTTTTTGTGAGAATTTATTGTAAGGCTGGTAAAATGCAAAGGGAGGATTATCCAGTGAAGTCAGCCCCTCCTTGTCATGTGATATAACACCTTTTGTCTTCTGTGCTCCAGGCCTTACATTGGGATTTATACACCTTTCTCCCTGACTGAAATTGGGACCTGCATAGTCACTGTAGACCCTGCCCAGACCCATCCACAGATTATTCTTTAAATTTTCTGATGGCGATTTCTCATCCAGCCTGAGAACCTGGAGTAGTGAAACACACACCCCACCCCCCTTTTTTTAATGTATCTTTTCAAAATTCTGCTCTCTTCATGGGAATTATTCAGCTTCTCACATAAAACATAATTTAAGACATTGTTATTGTTTATGCCTTTGAATACTTCTATCATCTACACTTAACAAAGAAGACAATTTACTTCCTCAAAACTTTGAAAAGTTAGTCTATTATATTTTCAATTAAGGGAACCCCAGTAAACTGTTGATGAGAATGTAAATTGGTGCAGCCATTACGGAAACAGAATGGAGAGCTCTTTAAAGTCAATAGAAATATTGTATGATCTAGCAACAACACTTCTATTTACCCAAAGAATTTGAAAACACTAATTCAAAAAATATACACAACTATGTTATTTGCAGCATTATTTACAGCAACTAAGAGTAGAATAACCAAAATGTCCATCAGTGTATAATGGGATACAGTGGTATATGAACACTACGGAATATTACTCAACTGTGAAAAAGATGAAACTACTTGCAATATGGTTGGATATGGAGACTTATGCTTAGTGAATTAAGTCTGATGAGATGGACACCAAGTGATTTTAATCACAGGTAATATGAAGAAATGAAAAAAAAAAACAACACAACAAAAGTGATTACAAGAGTGAAGGGGAAGGAAGATCGGTAAAAGGGATCAACTCTATGGCAATTATGAAAAAGGAATTCTGGTTGTGAATTTAATGTAGTATAACAGAAGTTTATAAAACCGTACACCTAAAACTTAGTGTTATAAATTAACATTATTTCAATAAAATAGTACCCATATTAACCCTATTACCTAGGTTGGGTCCACATTAAATGCTATAATCTGTCTCTTCTGAATTTCTCCAACTATATCTTCTGCCCTCATTAGTCCCCCTTAAAAAGCCAAGTATGTTGTAATGTATCTTTGGATAGCAAAATATAAATACCAATTCCATGAATTTCTGTTAGTTGCTCATTTTGTGAACTTAGTAAAATAAGAACACTTCTAGCTCCTCATCCACAACACACTTCACTCTATCCCATCTGTGTTCAAAATAAAACTTTAAAAAATTATGCAATCAAAAAAGACACTGTATAATTTTACTTACATGTAGTACACAAAGAAACTGAACGAACTAAGTTAAAAAAAAAAAAACAAAAAAACTGGGCCCTCCCTGGTGGCGCAGCGGGTTAAAGCACAGCACTAAGAAGCTTAAGCCACTTCCACATGAGTTCGATGACCGCCTGCCCAGGAGATCCACATGGCGCAGCAGACCTCTCCTGACCCGCCTGCTGCTCCCCTCAGCGGTGTACTTCGTCGATCTGCCTGTTCTGCTCCCCACTCCGTCTCTGGTGAATTCTCCCACCCTCCACATCTCTGGCTTGTACCCCAGTTCTGTATGAATAAATAATCTTTAAAAAAAAAAAAAACAAACTTTTGAGGCCCTCCCTGGTGGCACAGCGGGTTAAAGCACTGCACTAAGAAGCTTAAGCCACTTCCGCATGAGTTCGATCCCCGCTTGCCCCAGAGGAGATCCACATGGCGCGGCAGACCTCTCCTGACCCGCATGCTACTCCCCTCAGCAGCGTACTTCGTTGATCTGCCTGTTCTGCTCCCCACTCTGTCTCTGGTGAATCCTCTCACCCTCCGCATCTCTGGCCTGTACCCCAGTTCTGTATGAATAAATAAATAAATCTTAAAAAAAAAAAAAACTTTTGAGTATAAGGGAAAAGGGTAAGGGGTAATGAAGATCAATATATGATGAATAAAATTACTTTTAATGGGGAACTTAATGTAGTATATACAAATGGTTTATAATGATGCACACCTGAAACTTGTTATAATGCATTACTTCAATGAAAATTAGCATGATGGTAATCATTAGGACAGACTGGTGAAAAAATGGCCAACTGATGCCTTGGGGAATGGTAAGTCAAAATGCTTTATCACATACTGATTTCCCAAAGGGAATACTGTCTTAAGAAAAAGCACTATGGGTAGAATCCAGTATTAATGTTTTAAGTGGTCCACAAAGTAGCAAGGCCAACCAATGGCACCAGTCTTTAATCATCAGAGTAATGCCAGAGTATTTCTAACTCTGGCCTAAGGGAAGATGATGGCCACCTACAAATTGCGACTAAACATCTAATTTCCAAAATCAAGAAACCAGCCTATCTTTCAGTTTATTAATGGTAAAATTAAAATGAGAAAAACAATCATATTCAAATTTATACTCATACACTAAAACTACAGAATCTACTATGACTTCCCCTAGCCACCTTTGGCTATGCTTTGAGATTACCATTTCAATAAACTGTTTTCTAGTTTCCAAATAATTAACTTTTACTTTTTGTCTGGTATATTCTATTATGATAAAAATCAAGAAAATGTCTTGGGTTTCAATTGGTTTTCCTTAATAATGAGACAAGTCTTTCAAAACATTGTTGACTTGGAGAAATTGTTTAAAAAAAGAAAGTAAGTAGCAGGTCCTTGGTAGCACAACAGGTTAAAGCGCAGCACTAAGAAGCTAAAGCCACTGCAGCACAAGTTCAATCCCCGGCCAGGGAGGTGACCCACATGGTGGGCAGATCTCTTCTGACCCACCCACTGCTCTCCTCAGCAGTGTGTTTCAATCTGCCTGTTCTGCTACCCACTCTCTGATGAATCCCCTCACCTCCGGCACCTCTGGCCTGTACCCCAGTTCTTTAAATCTTTTTTTTAAAAAAAAAGTAGCAGTGGTAAAACTACAATTTCAAGGGACAGGCCACTGAAGTATGGCTACATTCATGGGAATCAGGACAGCAAACAAAACCAGCAATACATGTTCAAATAGGATAAAATCTGTAGGAATCAACAGATAATGCACTATTTTTCTTTCTCTCTTTATCTAGTAAGTAACATGGTACAAAATAGTGGGAATTGTAGTAATAAGACATCCAGGTTTGAAATCCAGTTCAATTTTAATTTCTGTGTTTGATCTCTATTTTTTCAGTTTCTAGCTCTTATTAGTAACAACTGGTTAAAATGTTTAAATTTCTTGTTAAATAAGGTGATCAGATTGTTACAAAACATTCTAAAATCAAAAGCAATCCATGTAGAACCATCTGAGGCAGTCATGTGGGAACAGATTAACAATCGTTACCCTTATCCTACACCCTTTGTTTTAACAATATGGGTCTTCCTTCTGCAATTCAACTATGCAAAACAATTTTCCTTACCCTGGAAAGGTTTTCTCCTGACTCTTCTTTATGGCCTAAGTTCAGTGGTCACTCCCTCTGAGACCTTTTTAGCTTAATCTACACTATTTTTCCTGAGTTTGTTCACATTGTTGGTCCTTTCATAACAGTTTCCACAAGAAGCTGTTATCATTTTTTAAGTTTATTTTATTTCCACTGACTAGAATGTAAGCTTCATTGGGGCTTGTTGGTCTAGCCCACAGGAAAATTCTCAGTCAAAAAAAAGGTCTTACAAAAAAAAAAAGGATCTTACAGTCTTTCACAGTAAACAAAGGATAAATGGATGAAACAGCATAAGATTGAGGTGGCTGGTAATAACCCTTCTCTGTTCACAATCTACTTTTTATTGCTTCTGTGACTAATATCTTCTCTTAGCCTCCATCATTTTCCACCTGGGTCATAGGAGCTTCTACTCCCGATTCTTTATGGTTTCTTCCACATGACAGCCATGCTGGCCTTAAAACATACAGGTCACTATTCTGGTTGACCCCTGCAATGGCTCCCCATGTTATCAAAAGTCAACATCTGTACAGTAACCGACAAGGCCGACTTGGCATGTTTCCTTCCTCCTTACCTGACTTCTCATTCTGCATAAGTTAACTTATCCTCCTTTTCCTTGAACATGCCAAGTAAGTTGGAGGTTTTGTTCTAAGCTGCTCCCTCTTTCTATAATCCTTCCCCCATATCTGACTGACAGGTTCCCTCACCTAGTATGGTCTTTACAGCTGTACTTCTATTGAAACCTATCTACTACTTATTTACTAACAAAAGCAACTGCCCACACTGATGCCAGCTCTCCCCTTTGGTCACTATTCCCACAGACCTTATTACCTTATAACACAAATAACAAACACAACCTGCTTCTATTAGCCCCAGGTTTTGGCACAGCTCAGGAAATAGCAATATAAGGGCAGGATAGGGAGGAGAGGAGACCTGATTCAAAGAAATAGGCTTTTAAATGGCAAGTGTAATTAAAGCTGAAGACCACCCACTGCACAAGTAAAATTTCAATTGAAAAAATTCACAATGTTATTTTAAACAATCTTAAAAGAGTCACTTTTGTTCCATACCTAAAATTCAAAAGGCCAATCAAAACCTGAAATTACTGGTATAATTTACCCTAAAGTGATAAATAACATGAAACATGGTACAAACTGCTTTTATTGGTAGCAGTACAAGTCAATAAATATTGATCCCCACAGAACTCAGATTATTTATCAGGTTACTGGTCCACTTAACCAGCTGACTGCTGGGATGACAAATTGAACTCAATCCTGTTTCTTGGGAAATGAAGCCATAACCAGTTGATATATGGCATATGCTGTTCCTGAAAAAGAAAGAACAGAAGAACTTAAACTCTAAGATATAAAAGCATAATCCTAATATTCCAACAAAAAAGTTATAAGGCCAGGTTGGTATTAAGACCACTTTTATAAGAAAATCAAATATTTGAGAGATGCTGGACAAAATTTAAAGTGAATATGTATATATTCACACACATATATATATTTAATCTAATTTTAGTATTAACTAGCTTCTATAGCAAGTGTTGGAAATAGCAGAATAATGTGTCCTTCAATGACGTAACATAACATAAAAATATAAATTTAAAATATTAAAAACATAAAGGTTGGCCCTCCCTGGTGGCGCAGCGGGTTAAAGCACAGCACTGAGAATCTGAAGCCACTTCCGTATGAGTTCGATTCCCGCCTGCCGCCTGCCCCGGAGGAGACCACATGGCGAGCCAGACCTCTCCTGACCCGCCCGCTGCTCCCCTCAGCAGTGTACTTCGTCGATCTGCCTGTTCTGCTCCCCACTCTGTCTCTGGTGAAGCCTCTCACCGCCCCTGAGCCTCTGGCCTGTACCCCAGTTCTGTATGAATAAATAAATCTTTAAAAAAAAAAAAAAAAAAAAACATAAAGGTTATCTTCATAGTAACCTAAGATTGCCTGTGAAATGTTAATGATTCAAAATCCAAACGAGGTCAAAACATACAAGTTTTCCCTAAAGCACATTACCAATGCAAAACCAAGGAAGAGTGGTTAAACTCTGAAAATAAACAAAGTTAAGAATAATACTGGACATTTTTAAAAATAATCACTAGAATATGTAAAAAAAAAAGTCACACTAAGGAGGTGTGAACCTCTTCCGCTAAGTCATACATAGTTTTATAAGTCCATGTTATCTCCAAAGGAAAAGTAAATCAAGTTTAAAAAGAAATAGTCACACTGACAAAAAGAATTTCGGACTTTAGTCTTAAAAATGCCCAAGTGTTACAACAGTTACTTGGCTTAACCCTCCAGAGGGTCTGTCAACCCGCAGCACACAGGTGTTGTCCCGTGTGAGAAACGTCTCTTCACTATATTAAGTTTTAGCAAGGAGGTACTACAGTACAAGCAGGGGCACTTTGTAATTAGGCTCACATCTGCATTTCCCAACAGGTATAATATAAACTTGAATAATTAACATATTTACTTATGTTTTAAGTTAGAATACATCAGAGAATTTAATAGAAATCTACATTGGTGGTACTATCAAAAGGATGAGCACACCATAATCACTCTTTCACTGTCTCCCTTCCACTACCAGGGGGAGCTGTTACTCAAATTCCTAAGTCTGGCTGCATCGTATACTGGTGAGTGAGTCTACCACTAGTATGCTGATCTACCCTATCCCATCAAAGTACTTTACACAGTAAGTTTAAGTACCATTCTGTAGAGGTTTTATTTCTATCACAAACATGTACTTATAGGGTCTAGATGGAAAATATGCTTATATTTTACACCACAGTCAAAATGCTTAAAAACGCCTGCTACAGGGGATGGGGCAGAGTGAATGTCTTGACTCCACTCTGCAGTGAGTAGCACACTCTAAATGCCAACTCATCACAGGATAATCAGCATACTTTATTGGTTTTTAAAACACATGAAAATACTCATATGTCTGTCTCTCATACAATCCTGAATCATGATGTGAAATATTAAAATCTTAGATCTTAAAGACAGAAAGCCTTATGTTTAGTTATTGGCATTGTAAAAAGCATTATTATTATTATTTTCCCAGAAACCAAGCATTTCAAATGTCTTACCACCAACTGTAAGAACCATGGTGGCCCTATACAGAAGGGCATCAGCTACCCCACCCTTTAGATGCACTGGAATTCCATTTTCCTCCTAGGTTGAAAGAAAAAAGGATTCAGATGTGATTTGTTCTCAAGTAAGTTCAAAAGACTAATCCATTTGTATAAAACCAAGTGTGCCTCAAATTAAAATATTTTAAATATTTAAGTTCACAAGCACTATAATAGTCCCAATTCATTCACTACTACCATTACTACTGCTGCTTCTTTGAAAATGATGCCTAAGTCAACATTCTTCTAAAGTTGATTTGAGACCCAAAAAAGAATGAGACACACATGTGAAAGCTATAAAAATAATTTGTTCAGTCATCAACGCACTTATTTTTTTAAAAATCTGTATCACATTTTTAGATTATTCATAGAGAAGAGTTTTCTTTCCTTAAAAAATGGGAGAGGGGGCCCTCCCTGGTGGCGCAGCGGGTTAAAGCACAGTACTGAGAATCTGAAGCCACTTCCGCATGAGTTCGATTCCCGCCTGCAGCCTGCCCCGGAGGAGACCACATGGCGAGCCAGACCTCTCCTGACCCGCCCGCTGCTCCCCTCAGCAGTGTACTTCGTCGATCTGCCTGTTCTGCTCCCCACTCTGTCTCTGGTGAAGCCTCTCACCGCCCCTGAGCCTCTGGCCTGTACCCCAGTTCTGTATGCACAAATAAATAAATAAATCTTTAAAAAAAAAAAAAAAAATGGGAGAGGGGGCCCTCCCTGGTGGCGCAGTGGGTTAAAGCACAGCATTAAGAAGCTAAAGCTACTTCCATCATGAGTTCGATCCCCGCCTGCCACGCAGGTGACCACATGGCGTGGCAGACCTCTCCTGACTTGCCCACTGCTCCCCTCAGCAGTGTACTTTGTCGATCTGTCTGTTCTGATCCCTGCTGTGTCTCTGCTGAATCCTATCACCCTCCACATCTCTGGCCTGTATCCCAGTTCTGTATGAATAAATAAATCTTTAAAAAAAAATGGGAGAGGAAGGCAGCAGCTACTCTGCCCACCTGTGAATATGCTTCTTTCCACCTACTCTCTCCCTCTGCGGGGCAGCAGCCTCTTGCCTGCCAGTGACCTGTACTGTGCCGGGACTTCTCTGCACTGACCTCCCTCAGTGGAGGCCTCTCTCTTAAGGCAGCCTGCCTGCAACCATGCAGGTCTCTCTCTCTGCAAACCTGTCCCTTCCGGGGCAGCTCTTCCTTCCCACTTGTGTCTACGCAAGTCTTTTTCTTTCCTGTCTCTTTCTAATAAACTTATTCTTTAAATATAAAAAAGAAATGGAGAGGAGGGTCGGCACATTGGGTTAAAGCACAGCACTGGGAAGCTAAAGACACTTCATCATGAGTTCAATCCCCTGCAGACCACTTCTGACCTACCCACTGCTCCCTTCAGCTGTGTACTTCGTCATTGGGCCCTGCTCACCACTGGGGAATCCTCTTACCCCCTGCACATCTGGCCTGTACCCCAGTTCTGTATGCATAAATAAATTTTTTTTTTAAATGGAGAGAAGGTTTTGGTTTATAATTCTAAAATATATCCTCGGCACCTAGCCCCACAACTGGCATATAATGATATTTTATGCATCTGTTAAATATAAGCACTTTATTTTTATGTAGTGTATTTATAACAACTTTTGCCATCATTTAAAATTTTATCTGGAAAAAACCATAGATAAAACAAAACAAACAAAAAAGTCACTTACAATATAACTACTTATAAGATAGGCAAACTTCTCTGTTCCACTAGGTCTTTGCTAATGAGAAAACCACCAGTAACGATAACATACATATCTTTAAATATTTTTTACTGTCTTCTAATTTAACACATAATTCCTTAGTACATAAAATACAATTATGCTATATAATGATCTACCACATATCTTTTTTTTTGTCCAATACTATCCTAAAAACCATTCTGTTAGTCCACCTAAACCTAACTTACAACTCTTTATGGCTAGGATATTTAGGACATAGGATATTTAGGTAGCTATAGTTTTCTTTTTTTGTTGTTGTTATTAAAAATCTCATAATGAATAACCTCTTATTTTATATACCGAAGCTACTATTTCTGTAGGAAAGATTTTTAAATGTGGAATTCCTAGATGACAGAGTAATGATTTGTTTTTAACAACTTTAAATACCCCTCAATCTTTTATACCAATTATATTACTACCCAGCATGTATGAAATGACAGCATGTGAATGTACCTATCTCCACAAGTGCTTCCACAAATAGCTAACATAACTTACTGAAAATCTCTCTCAAACTTTCATAAATAGAAAAAAAAAATTAACCTGTGAACTAAATTGCACTTTTATTGATTTGTAGGGTGAGAATATTAAACTTTTATTATATTTAGAAAATTTGCTATTTGTCCCTTGTCTGTTCCAAGAAAATAATTTTTATGTTACAAAATCTTGAAATTTTTCTCCTTTATAATTCCTAGACTTTGTAAAAAATTGCCTAGGAAGACTTCCTCACCTCTAAGATTACAAGAAATATTCCCCCCATGATGATATTTAGTAATAGCAAATATTTGAAATTTGCTGTGTGTGCTTACCACACTCCAAAAAAAAAAAAAAAAGGGCTACTTATGTGAAGTGATACAAATATAAAAATCGAGTGTGGTAATTATTCACAGATACATTGCGTATCATACTATACAACCTTAAAAAAGTTAGGTACTGGCTAAATATATACCAGTTTTGATATATATATAGAAATGAAAGAAAATAGGGACTAAGAGAGAAAGTCTTTGTCTTCTTTTATTTTGTTAAGGAAGTAAGATTTACACCTGTGATTTATCTTTTAATGTACTATAAATATTAAATGTGTGCATATACTTTTCATATGTGTGTATGTATACACACACATATAGCACATATACAGTGGTAACTAGCTATACTTCCTTTAAAATATAGCAATGTTTTTTCCAATATGGATTTATTGTATCCATCTTCTGCAATGTAAAATAGCCCTTTAAACATCAAGTTTCTTCCTATTCTTTTGCTAATACAATATAATCACTAATAATCAGGTATTTCCAAATTTACTTCCTATCTCCACCTTCTCATAATCTGAATATTACAAGGAACAATTTACTGCAAAATATTTTGGTACCTGAAATAGTTTTTGTTTCTCTGGAACTTTATTTTCTAACTGCCTGCGTGAAGCAGTACTTATGGTCCTCTGAGTAATCTGACGAAAAGCCTGAAATGAAAAAAATCCATGTATATAAGACAGATTTAGGGCTTAAAGAAATCTTCAAAACTAATCATTTTCAGTATTGCTGAACAAGAAAGCTGAGAGCTAAAACACATCTAACTAGCCATAACAAAGTCATAAACCAGCATCCAGATTTTACAATTTGTTATCCATCTACTGCTCTTTATATCAATAATACAGTCTGTAGTCTCTAAAGACCACATTCAAGAAACAATAGAGGCAGTTTCCAAGCAAAGAAAAATTTCATGATCTTCACCTGTACTGAAATCAGTAGCATTTCATTAGCATCGAGAAAAACATGACATACAGACATTTCAAAAATAAGGATGATTAGGAAATACATGAATCTCAAGTGTTTTCATTTTATATTCTGTATTACTAAGTCTAATACTTGGCCTCAGAATTAACTAGCATGATTTCTATTTCATTAACACACTTCCCTTGTAACAATTTTCCTTAAAAATCTTTGGGGAAAAATAATTCTTTTTAAAAAGAAATGTGTATCATACATCCACTTGAAACAAATATGAACTCCTCTTTCTAAAATAAGTGTTGATAAGCTACATAAAGCTTTATTACAAAAGCAAACGATCCTTATCTCCTCTTTTTCGCATTTTGTGGTAACTCACAAGCCTCAAAGGGAGTGACGGGGTGAAAGGCAGGCACTGCAGAACCGTTTGATGTAAGCAATACTAAATATTATCAGTCATGACCGCTCAACTTCCAACCGATCAAGTAACTTGCTTTAAAATTACTTTGTGACGCTCGCAAACTAGAACCACTGAGCCTTAAGCCCTTTCAATAACAAAGGATCATCTCTCTCTCAAACTCTTCCTAGTATCGGAATTTCCACCTAAACCTTGTTTTATTCACATCAGAGCTTCTGACCTCATTAATGTCCCACAGGGGTAGGGATGGCGAGTAAGAACTCAAGGTCTAGCTAACCCACAACCCTCCGGTCACCTTCCCAACCATCCCACTCTCCACTTATAACTCAGCGCAACCGAAGGTAAGAATGAATGGAAAGGAACATCAGGCGAAAAGGACGCGGACCAAGGTGACTTCTGATGCCGCCATCTCTCCTGCTAACCCCAAATTCCTAGGCAAGGCTCTTCAGTTGTGGCCCCTAAGCCTTCAGTACCTTTACCCCCACATCTCGAAAGCAAACCAAGAAACCGCTCACCAGCAGATTCCGCAACATCTTGGCTCAGTTACTGCCCACCAACCGCGACAACTGAATACCGGGAACTAAAATCGCCACGCCGGAACCGGAACTACCGGCTGGTCTCGCGCATGCGTCAAAGAACCTGAAAAATTACCAGACAGTACAGGGGTTGTGCTCGTGACCATAGAGAGCGAAAGAAAAGCGCGAGCGGCCCTAAGGGTTTGGTCGCTCTAGCCACCTGGAGGTTTCTCTCGCTGGCTCTCGTTCTTGTTCAGTGCCATTCTTACCCGCAGGATCAGGGAGCTAAGGCTGGGCAAAAGCAAATTATTTTGGTGAGCAGAGAGGCAGGGAGTGACGTGTTACACAATGAGTTAGCTTCGATAATAGTAACGTGGCACCAGATTATCATGAGTGTATTTTGAAAGATAAGTCGTAAACTGAGGAGCCTGTGAGCCATTGATTAGAAGCTGAAGGAAAATTAAACTGCGCAGCTGGATGAAATACAAAACAAGAATAATTCTCTCACACGGTTATAATCAGATTTTTTTTTTTTCCAACGGAGAAACTGTTATGAGGCGGCGTTGTTCCTTGTGCTGAGAATATTCTGTAAAGAGCTGTCTCAGGATACTAATTTTTACTTATTGTACCTGTGGATGCTGCAGAATTTCTCAAGCGAAAAGCATTTCCACAGCCTCCCAAGATTGTAGAAGTTGTTAGCTGTTTTCTGGGTATGGCAACTCTGAAAAGAGGGTGGAAATTTGAGGAACAAGAAATAGGATGAAAAATCTGGACCCAAGTCTTACTGTCTCTGGTGCAGTAGGACATTTAACATAATTGAAGTTGCTAGGTGTAACGAAGGCACAGATATATTATTGATATATTTTGCATCAATCTTGCTCAGTAATTTCACATTACAATTATCTTTATCATCTGTGCTCACACGTGTGTATAAACATAAAAATACTTATTTTTTATACAGCTATTTTTATACAATGAATCTTATCACTTATAAACTCAGTGTTATGTCATTGTCACGTCAAACAAAAAGCTGAGAATATGTGTTCAGCACAGTTGAAATGTGTAGATAAAATCTAGTAACTAAAAATTTTTATTCCTTCTAATCTTTAGCTGGGGCAGATATTTTTAAGAACTTGTTAACATTTGAACTTAGTAACTTGTATGTGCTGTGATTCAACATTTAGTCAACTAGCCTGCAAGCTTCTCAAGAACAGAATTTATGCTTAGTTTTCAGAACAGAATTCTCTTTACTGAACATACAAATATATATTCCCAAATGAGACTCAACCTTTCACTTCAGTTACCATTCTGTTTCTCTTCTTCAAAATAAAACAGATTTCTTTAATGACATCTATTTTCTTGTCCTTTCCTGGGTCCTCTTCTTGGCCTCTACCACTTTTTTTTACATTCATCCCGTAAGAGTTTTCATCCAATTCTATGAAATACCAGTTTGGATTGGTGCCTCACCAGTCTGACCTTTCCCTTTAACTCCAGACTTTTCAAACAGGTTCAAAACGGAATGCTACATCTCATTCCTTATTTCCAACTCTCTGCATTCCAAGATTCATTTTTTTTTTCTTTTGGTCATAACCTATTAACTAGTCCCTTGGAAATTTCTACTGGCTTCACTTTCAAGTGTAATTTTAATCTGACTTTTCATTACCTCCACTACACTACCACTCAGGACAAAGTCTTTGTACCATGCTTGTATTAACTGCAAAAGCCTTTACAATTGGTTGTCTTTGAAGGACTAAATGTATCTGTTCAATCTCATCCACACAGCAATGACCTTTTCAAGAACTTAAAACTCTGCTTTAAAATATTTTGTTAACTCTATATCCTATCACCTAGAATAGTAACTAGCAGAGGAAATATTCTAGTAAATATTGGTTAAATAAATAGTATATTACAGAAAGGATGAACTTATTTAGTATAAAAATTCAAAGTCTTTAATACTCATTATACACCTTTCAAACATTTTTTAGTCCTGGGGCTCCTCCATGTCTCCCCACTTTTGCTCTATTGACTTAGGCTATGCTACCCATACTGTCTTATAAGGTCCTGGGGACTGGGGGAAGACTCCTGAGAAGATGGAGGCTACTTGGTTCCCAAGAAGACGTATTAAGGGGAGTCTCCATAGCAATGCTTACTGAACTAACCTTGTACTTATTCTTTGCTTATAGCAATTGTATGTCTTGACCATCAAGCGATTCCTGGCCCTCTTTTGTTTGTGGCCTAACTGGGCATCCAGAATCGGTTACAAAAAATGTTTAATTGACAACGTTCTCTTAAAAAAGTACCTTAGCATAAATCAAGAGTGTAGATTGCCTTTAGGAATATGAATAAACATGATCAGGATGTGCCTCCTCCTCGTGGGACAGTTTGGAGGGACTTGAAGAAATCGATCTGAATCTAGATTTAATCTGAAAAAGGATTGTTCAAAGGAGGACTTAATGTTTTGCCACTTTATTTGAGACGCTGACTGGAATGATTGATCATGCTGAAAAAATGGGGACGCTGATTGTTTTTGGTGGGTTTCTTTCTATGACCAATATTTTCTTTGTAACATGTAATCACAAAAGTTTTGGTGTAGCCATGGAAATGAATTGTTAAAAGATTTGCTTCAATGCCTATACTGACGAAATCTCACCGCTTGGAAAATGTTTAAATAAAGAACTGCTGAAGTTTTCGACATGAGATACTTGCATCAGCTAGAATGTCAGTGTCTGCCTCAATTGCTCATTTTGCCGATGCCGCCTCATCCTTCGGGAAAAAGACCCCTGACCAGCCGTCAGAGCTGGACTCTGACATCGGCATGGTCTCTGACATTCTATAAATTGTAATTATCCAGATAGAAAAATTTGCCTGGGTATCTGTGAAACTTTACTAGATATTCTCAGGCAAATCTGAAATTTCTTACCAAATTTCTAAATTCAATTTGAGGCCAAATGATTATTTTCAAAATAAGCTCCTTTCCAAAACATCAGGGTGAGTTTCTTTGGGAAAAGTATATGGATGACATAAACAGAGTAACAGGTGTAACAAAATGAGGTGGAGTACATAAGCTATGCAACCTCTATCCTCTGACATATTCCGGATGGAGACTGAAATGCTCTGAAAATCACACTTTCACGCTAACTTATGTGATGACCTCCCTTTTTTTGTATAATCGTAATATCAAAATATTCTGAGCAACCTTCAGCTTACAGTTGGATTGCCCCAGCCTCATAAGGCGCTACCTGGCCCTGAGAAGCAAGTACTGCACTAGGGTGAGAAATTCCTCTTGAAGTCAAAAGTCATTAAACAACTGGCTGATTAATAAAAACAAATGGCTGTTACTGCAAAGTCTCTCTCACTGCCAGACTGAGGAAAACCCAAGTCTTATCACTGTCTCAAGTAGCCTTTTATACAGTTTCTAAATAACTACTCAAACTTCCTACTATCTAGTCTTTAGAAATGGAAATTCACCCAAGTGGCCTATGCAGAGCTAATCAGGTTTTCCACCATCTAAACTTCAAGAAAACTAAATCTATCTAAGAAGTTTTTCAAAGAACCTTACCTTAATTTGATTTACAAGAAATTTCTTCTTCCTGCCCTCACTTTACTTTACCCCCTAGGATGTCTCTATGAGAATGAAAGCCATTAACAGATAATGTTTAAGGGGCTTTATTTTGGTTAATCTTCACTGTGGTAAATATAGTAATATTAGTCTTAAACTTTGTAAATCTATGTACCTATTTTAACCTTGATAGATTGATTTTAAAAATGTTGTAATCTCAACTAAAGGTCAAAATGACCCCAGACTATTCTTAGAAAAAAGGTGATTTGTGATCTCAGCCCATTTCATATGCTAATGTCATCCCACAGCCTGCCTGAAGTGTATATAAAATATACCTCTGCTGAAGTCAGAGCAGGAAGATTTGCATCCAACTCCCATTCCAGTGTCTTACTCGGACCCGCTCCACTTTTTTTCCCTTTTCCCCCTTTTTCTAGGAATCTCAGCTTGCCGACTCCGTTCCCACCTTGAGACCCTGCCTGTTCTGCCCCCCAAAAATCCGTGATTGGGGACAAAGAGTGGAGGACAGGACAGAAGCAGATTAAAAACAGTAAGAAGCTGACCCTCCTCCAACTTCTCAGATTAAGGGCTTCCAGTCAAATGTGTGACTCTGAGTTCTTCTTTAACACAGCGCTTCTCAACATTCTGTCTGCCAGAAAGTGCTGACCTGCCAACTACTTATTACTTTTCTAAGCTTTTGTTCATGAAAAGGAATAAATAATTCACTCACTGGCATTTTTGAATAGAGCTGTACTACTCAAAGTAAAGCCTCACTTGTCCAGCTCTGCCCATGAACAAAAACTTTCAATTAATCTTTTGGGGTCTATTTACAATGAGACTGCCAAAATCAATCTTATAGAAAGGAAACTGCCTAAAGAGAATAAAAAGTAAAACTAAAAATAGTAACAACAAAAATTGTTAATATAGGAAAATCACGTGTATGCACGTGTGTATATATGTATGCACCCATAAATATCCTCAGAAAAATATTTTATCCCTGAATTAAGATTAGTATGTTTTAGAAACAAAATAAAGGGAGTCTGATAATCTTTTTTCCTGAATTTTAGATACACAAAAATTTAATAGGAATAAATAATTTTAGAAAGAACAGAGGTAATAATATCTACATAACAAGAGACAGAAGGTACAGTCTAAGATGTTCAATATCTGACTTGGAGAGGATCATACTTAGCAAAAACAATTAAATGTAGAAAAGACTGAAGCCTTCAAAAGTATTGGGGGAAATTTTAAACTATACATGTAGTCAACTATGAATGAAATATGAGTGTAATAAGGACTGATAATACATGTAAGGACCTAAAATTTGACTCAGACTATTCCTTAGTAGTAGTATTTTAAGTGTTTAAGTTTTTTACGAAATGCTCTTGTGAACATAAAACCAAGAGGAAAACAGCAGGAGGACAGCAAGAGGTGGTGTCAGGATGATGGCTAACCAGCAGGTCAAGAAAACCAGTACAGATTGGCACCGGACAACTGGAGAAGAGCCCAGCGAATCAGCTTTACCTGATGATTGGGACCAACACCTTTCAAAACTAGTGATAACATGGAGCACCTGACAAATTAAGATATGATTCTGAAAAGTTAGATGTTAAAAATGAGGTGATTAGGCCCTCCCTGGTGGCGCAGCGGGTTAAAGCACAGCACTGAGAATCTAAAGCTGCTTCCGCATGAGTTCGATTCCCGCCTGCCCTGGAGGTGACCACATGGCGTGGCAGACCTCTCCTGACCCGCCCGCTGCTCCCCTCAGCAGTGTACTTCGTCGATCTGCCTGTTCTGTTCCCCGCTCTGTCTATGGTGAAGCCTCTCACCGCCCCTGAGCCTCTGGCCTGTACCCCAGTTCTGTATGCAAAAATAAATAAATCTTTAAAAAAAAAAAATGAGGCGATTATTAATTCCAGTAAAAAAAAAACCACAAAGCATAATTAAGGGCTATGGTTTTCCTCTATGGTTTACAATATTTTATAGTTATAATTAAACAATAACTAACATTTATTAAGTAAGCAGTATGTATATATACAATGGGAGAAGAGGAGGAATGTGTGTTAGAGCGCTAAATTATCAGGTAACACTATCAAGAAAATAGTATCGAAAACTGCTCAATTGGGCAATAGTAATTATATTATTTGAATACACTAATACCAAAAGAAACCACTTTTGGAACCAAAGTGATTGTCTCTGAAAGGTATAGGAAGTTGGCAAAACAATGGCTGTTATTTATCATAAGGCCTTCATTTTTTTTTACTTTGATACATTTTATAGATTTATAAAAGCAACTGAGATCATCATGGTCTGATTTTAGACACTATTAATTTGGTACTTCAAATTACATTAAGGAAAAGTGTTTTTGTTTACTGAATGGAATATGAGCTAAAAAGATCATCCAAATTACCACAATAATTAATGCATCAAAATTCTTCTTGTAACTGCAACACTTCCTTACTCATCAAAATTCTTCTTGTAACTGCAACACTTCCTTACTCCCTTCTCTATGCTTCCAAAATAAGCATGTTCATGAAGAACAAAATTTTATAGCTTAACCTACAGTACCATAAAGTACTGGTAGGGCAGTTTCAAGACGTTAAGTGTGCAGACTGAACAGTTATTTATACCTGTTGGCTGCTCTTTTTCTGGTTTTTCAGTTTTTCAGGTTCTATTTACTAGATATTTCCCCTAAATTTAATACCACATATTTAATTCATCTGCCTGTAACTCAGGTGACAATCTAACTGCTTCCTCGTTAAGAACAGATGTTTCTTAGCAACAAATAATTTTGCAGTTAGTGTCCTTGAACAACTACACGTGGTAACCAAATACACACGACATCATGGTGATCTTAAAACACAAATTCGATAATTCTGGGCAAAATTTAGTGTCAAGTATTAAAAACAATGAAGCATTGTTATTTTAGCAAGACACTTAAACAAAGTTAATTTTGTTCATTTTTATTATCCAGAGCATATTAACATAATTTTTAATGTAATCAAAGTTACAAATAACTTATTGACCAATAAACAAGTAATATTCACTTGACTTTCTCTTCTTGGTTGAAAATTCTCTTTTGGAAGTATAGTTATTTTTACCAATTTATCTTTAAATTGCCTTAAGATTTCAATGAAATGTATTAGCTTATTGAATAATTAATTCCTCCAATTGGGAAGATTCATGTATCAAAATGCTTTCTGTAAGTTATTGCATTTTTCAGTGCCTCCTACTTAACATAGTTGTCTTTACAATGCAATATGATTCTTTGAAAGCTGACTATGACATCAGTGTTGCTAGAAGATGAACATAAGTGAAACCTGTAAGAAAGAAAGAAATGTCTTCCCTTCTCCTCAGGCTTCACAGAGGTAATGTGAATATCCCATATACCTGTGATGTGAATATCCCATATACCTTTTACGTAACAGAAATACATTAGAGCTCAAATGGTAGGAAGTAGAAAGGAACTCAGGCCATCAATGTGCGTGTAAAATAAACCAAACTCCAGATTATTTCAAGATTCTATCCTCACCAAAGGTGAAAAAGTCTTGGAAGGGCTTTAGCAGCACTGGTTAGCTGCCAAATTTGAAAATAAGATAAAGGATGGCAGTCCCCTGACCATCACAAACTCAGTCTGGGGAGACTGACAAAAATCCCTTTCCCACAGAGATATATCCTGGAAAATAAACTGCCACATACCAAAGGGTCAATTAGCAGAATAAATAACAAAATTCTGAAGAACTAACAATATATGGGGTATTTTAGACAAAGAATAATACATTATGCACTTAAAAAACTCAGGATAATTATTCAGTAAAGTACCTCATGCTAGTAATGTAGTCTACCAATTAAAAGGTATTAGAAATTACAAGTTCTTTTAACTGAACTTCTTGTTATACAAAATTTAAGAAGCATGGCACATTTCTACCATCAACCATTACATTAAAAAAAAAAGCATTTAATCAATACTAATATATTACCCAGATCTTTTGACTTAAAATAAAACTGAAATTTGAAACCATTACAAATGAAACAGGAATTCTTCTATACAAACATGAGTTTAGTTTCTTTAAAAAAAAAAATCAAGTTCAATGAAATTAAGCCACTTCTCATTAAGACATACATTTTCATGCATGTGAAAATAAGTTCACATTCAAGTTCCAGGGCAAACAATTTACAGCACTTGTTCAATAAGAAATATTAAAATAATCCCAGTTAATAGAAAATAACTTCAACTACATATACTGTAATTAATCATGTACATATTCTAAAATCTCCAGAGTTTAATTTGGAAATTTAAAGAACTTTTAAAGATATGTCTTAGGAAAACCAATAATCACAACCAATAATTGATGCCTTAACTAAAGAGAATGCATACACATACTCATATTTGATCTGTATGCAAAAACTGAATAAAATAGAGGAAAAGGTTAATGTTTTCCAAAATTTCTGTTATATATTAGTATTTAAGTAAAAAAACAACTTACCTTCAAGATAAAAACAGCTTGAGGTATTTCCAATGCTGAAGAAACTTTCTGTATGTTAAATACTACAAGAATAAAAGCAATCTCCTTTGAACATTTACATTATGTTTACAGTTAGGTAGAAGATCAAGGTCTGCCAAAAAGTTTTCCCATCTCACCTACACATGTTCATCCCTTAGAAAGTATAAATTTCCAGGGAAATGCCTACATGTCGAAACATATCAAGTGAGTTGAGATTAACAAATAGAAAGAGAAATTTTAAATCCTCCTACTTGAGATCTGACTTCTTCAGACATGACCATAAATTCCTATGCTAGACAAGGTAAACATGACCTTTGAAATAAAAAGCTGTGTGACAAAAAACTGTACTGAATAAATAGAATACATGAACCCCTTCAACATAGATAGTACTTTAAGCCTTTATACACGACACATGAAAATGATGAAGTGTTTTATTTAGATTTGGTCTTTCTTCATCTTTTCATAACTTTGAATCCTGAAAGGCTAGTAAGTCATTATACATCTTGTAAGATCTTTCATCACACAATTAGGCACACATATACAGCATCATATGTCAATATAATATTATCAACACAGCATAAACATTTACAGCAGTGGATGCATTTCACATGAAAGAGACTCTGAATCAACATGGCCTGTCCCAATATAAAAGCAAACATCAGAATGCCATTTCAGCAGTTACAGTGTTGATATGATCAATAGAGCTAATTTTTTTATACCCGTCATATATTTTCGTAAGTCATCCATAAGGAAGAAGCAACGAACACAACTGTCTTTTTAAAAAAATTATGTGCCAACTTCAAAATGACATACTAACCAGACATCGCCATTCAAAAAGCTACGTTGAATAGGACTGGCCTTGATGCACATGCAGTAAATTTTTTGAGAATATAAAATTAAATGGTAATGTCAGCAGTATTACTACTGTTTCTGTATTTATGATTAATTACTAGCAGCACAACTCCCAGAAGGAAGGAAATGGATCCAATGGCGATGTAAGCAATTCCCAAGAATGGATTTTTTCCTCCCATCCATGAAATAGTGCTCAAGATCATCCGTTTTCTTCCATCAAATGAATGTACAGGGTAATCTGAAGAATGTATAGGAAGACTTTTCCATCTCTTGTTATTGATTTTTAAAATACAAAAAGTTGACATTTAATTGCTTAAAGTTCACTTGGTATAATGCTGATACACAGGCACCTAACTTAAATATCTCGATTGCAAAATAACTACATAATTATTATCTTTAAGGACAAATTAAGCAAGTTAAAAGTTAGTAGTAAAGTTTGTAAGCAAAAATAATGAAATCTGAAGGCTGTCTCATCTCCTAGGTATTTCTACTCTAATTCCACAGGACAGGCAGAAGGTCACAAGAAACTTAATTTGAGAAAATATTTCCTATGTTTAGCAGTGAAATCTATAAAGGAAAAAGAGATTGAAAGACTAGAAGAAAATGGATGAAGGGAGTAGATGTCTTAGGGGGCTCAAAGAACAAATGCAGTAAGAGTGTACTTTACAGCAGAGAATATGACGGGGTTCCAAGCACATGGTGAAAAAGTATGATGCTAAAGTTTTAACTTGCTGTTTTGGAGCAATGATAAAACTCAAGGTGAAATACACAGAGGTGATAGCTAAAACTGAGCAGAAGTAAGGGGTGAATTTTAAAGAGACTTAAGAAATGGGATACCACTAACTAGGATGAGCTCTCTACATGGGCCAGTTCTTTGATTTTGTCAAGAGTTAGGAAGATATGACAGAACTAAGTCTATGGGAGAGGCTTACAACCTTTTCAAAAGCACCTTTTGACCAAGTTTTGGAAACCATCCTTTATCTACTTTCTGCACCTGTCCTTTCCTACAGATGGACATTGATTCCAAACGGTAGACTCAGCTCTACTCATTTCTTAAAGCAACTCAAATATGAGTTGCTTATAAGAGCAGGAATGCAGGAAAGTTTATAAGAGCTCTAGTCTAACACTCTGAGACATAGTGTGAAATCACCCATGCTACTGTCTCTCTGTATCCAACCCTAAGAAACAGGTTTCTGCCTTAATTTTAGTGTTTCTGCTTTAATTCTAGTGTCTAGTTCCCACTTTACCCCAATTTGACAATCAGCCTTTGATGCTTTACAAGCTCAAATAGCCATCTGGTCAATCTGCAATATTTCCTTTCTCTGACATTACATAATAAGGTACAAATTCAAGGACTTAGAGGTTAAGCCCTGAGCTTGACCCCCAGTCAGGGAACTAACCAACATATAATGTAGCAGACCTCTCCTGTTCGCCCACTGCTCCCCTTAGCAGTATATTCTCCAGTAAATCTACCTGATCTGCTCCCTACTCTGTCTCTGGTGAATACTCTCACCCCCACTAAATCTGGCTGATATCCCAGTTTTTCTATAAAATAAATAAAGTACAAATCCAAGAAACCAAGGATCCAAAAATTTAGATCTATTAATTTAACTATTTACTAACTCACTTTACAACTAAAACTAAATAGGTAGCTCTCCTCCAAATACTGTCCATGTCCACCTGTGACAATGTAGGTGCCTCTTTTTTTTCTCCTTTCCTAATAAACTGGTCCTTGAAAAAAATTAAAAATGCAAAAAACATCAGCATTTAAAATGCTAATATCTGAGAAACTTTTCATCTATGACATAAATAAACAGAGGGTTAGATTAAAAGATGTAAGAACTTTGTTGGATTGTTGGACTGCATCCAGATCGGGATGATGGTCTGCCTACTTGAACGAGTACCTATACATACAGTTGATGGTGGCTGATGATAATTTAACAACAGCTTTAAGAGTTAACAGCCTGATTATGAACCCTTCATTTTCTATTTATAACCTGTATTTAGAAAGCTCAGTAAGTTACTTAAATGCTTTATCTTCCTGTACTCTTATGTCTGTTACACAGAGATTATACCTACCTGGTAATGCTTGAATGGAATAAAGTAATGCAGGAAAAGTACTTAATATAATGCTGACATATATACAGGATGAAAGTGGTATGTATCAGCACAAAAGAGTAAACAAATAATGTGGAAAAATATAGGTAATGACAGAAATGTTTTGTTACTATAAAGACAACAATAATTATAAACAATTATGATAATATGAACTAACACACCTGCTTATTTTTAATATTTAAAAATATTTATGTTGAGGCCCTCCCTGGTGGCGCAGCGGGTTAAAGCACAGCACTGAGAATCTAAAGCCGCTTCCGCATGAGTTCAATTCCCGCCTGCCCCGGAGGTGACCACATGGTGTGGCAGACCTCTCCTGACCCGCCCGCTGCTCCCCTCAGCAGTGTACTTCCTCGATCTGCCTGTTCTGTTCCCCGCTCTGTCTCTGGTGAGGCCTCTCACCGCCCCTGAGCCTCTGGCCTGTGTACCCCACTTCTGTATGTACAAATAAATAAATCTTAAAAAAAAAAAAAAAAAAATTTATGTTGAAACAGCCCAGTATCACCACTTACTTAGTATTAGGATACTCACTGGCCTTTGTATTAAGTTACAATCTTCTTTGCAAAAATATTTACTTTATTAATAAATCAAGCACCTACATTTTAAGTAATCTTACCAAATAATATGTTTGAAACCTTAGTACAAAGTATAAAAATTTAAGACATTTATGGAAGATATAAATTAAAATACCTTTCTGACATATATACACTCAAAAAACACAGATCAAAACTAAAACACAAAGGTTGGATTATACTGCATTCAAATTCTACAAATATGCATGTACCAAAAAAAGGATACTGTATGTGATGTTCAAATAGTATCGTCCAGCTGGTAATGTTGGGTGTAAATTACTTTTCTGCTCTATAAGACGATATAACTTACGAAAAGTAGGTAATGCTGCAGTACGCATCCAAACAATAAAATCCTCATTTATGAACCCATTATTATCTGGGTCAGAATCCAGTAGGTACACTGGTTTAATCCAGTTTACAGGCTGTGTTGTACCTTGAGGGAAAAAAGGGGTGGGGAAGAGAATATATTCAATTCTATTTAAGTTCCACTGTAAGTTTACACTCTATTAAGACAAGCATATGCAACATATAATCTGAATATTTCGTATTTTCAAAGATAAAAATAAATACACTCATATAAGTTTTAAAACCTAGAGAAATTAATTCTTCACCTAACAACTTAACAAATAATAACAAAAATCTGACTGACATTTCAAGTAAGGTAAAATTACAAGTAACTTGTTAAGCATATACTAAAGGCAGATGATTTCATACAAAGATATAATGACACAAAATATTACATTATGAATAAAGGAACACAGAAGTAATAATGAAGTTTGATTTAAAATTATGAAAAATAATTGGGGACTGCTTAAAAAAACTGCCTCGTTTTAAAAGATTATGACTGAAATGCTTATAAAAAATATAAAAGAAATTAAAGATTAAAAGATAAAAATATAAAGTGCATTTCCTTTAGAATTTCAGCATGTACTACATATTTTACCTACCTTGACATTAAAAAACTTTTTTAAAAAGCAAAAACTTAAGATTTTAAAGTAGAAAATTTAAAGGTAACTCAAGTACAATTCCTAAGTTATATCAATTTTTAAAGCAATATTATAATTTACCTTTGAATCGTTCCTCCAGGTTTTCTGATCCAGGAGGATTTCGGAATTTTACATTTTTATCTGTCCACCAAGCAATACCTCTCTTTTTCAACGGAATTGGCACAGGTTCAGATTCATTGCTAACCAAATATAATTCTAATGTATCTAAATAAAAGAAAGATATTGCTAAACACCTATTGAAAGTACATAGTACTTGCTTTATTCCATATATGAATATCTTTTATATATAAGGGCCTGCTATTCGCTCCCCAAATATGCAGATGTTTTTTAAGATTAAATAAAATAATTTTTAAGGTAGTCCTGTCCTTTCAATAATGTATTACCACATAGCTTCTGGATTATCTATTTTTCAACCTGTGCTGTCCAATATTGTAGTGACTAGACACACGTAGATATAAAGCCCTTAAAAATTATGACTGGCCTAAATAAATATGTCTTGGAAGTGTGTGTGTTTGTGTTTGTACTATATATACCAGATTTAATATGAAAAACAATATAAAACAGGTCATTAAATATATACTGTTACATGTGCTAAAATTAAATCTGAGCATACATTTAAATTAAAAAATGTTCTTAGAATCAATTTCACTTTTTGTTGTTTTTAATGTGACTACTAGAGATATTAAAATTATATTCATGGCTCACATTAAATTTTTATCACAATGCTGCTCTAAATGATCAAATACAATTCCTTTAAAATGGCATAAATATTCAAAGTTAGTAGGAAAGGCATTTATTTATCAAAAATGAATTAGGAAGGTTAGCAAAATGTCTGTTTCTTTCCCCTCAGAGACAGAAATCCATTTTTAAAATATGAAGCCTCAAAAGAAAGTCATTATAATACTGATACTTATACATTATAATACCTGATACTTATACATTAATAAGTTGTTGAATTTTTCAATTTTATTTATATTTGCTAGACAATCAAATCTGTAATAATTTCCCCCAATATGTATATTTATGTTTATACAATACCATTAAACATGCTGTTGGCAATAGCTCCACAAGGAGCAATTGGTTTGTCTTCATTTTTTCGATAAGGCTCACATTCCTTGCTGGGATTCTGAAGTTTAGAAGAAAAAAGAGAAATTATCAGTCAGGCCTCTGGGAAAACAATAAGCTTGCCCCTGTTACTGATTAAAAATTCATTCCTTGCATGCTTCTTATTTGCAGTGCACATAAAATTACTCTTAATGTGAATAGATTATAAATAAAGCTACATTTAAATATTCAAAATATAGTACTTAATTATATTACCTTTTTAATGTAACCTTTCCTAGCATGTATTCTGTCACATAGGCACATATCAAAATGATGTCTTTTTAATTTTTTATCAACACAGAAAGAGTAAGCACAAAGAAATTTTCTGCCCAAGAAAAATTCAGAAACATTCTATTGTCAGTCCAGTAGTTATGTAATAAAAGGAATCCTAAACTAGAAGTAGAGTGGAGGCTGTAATTCAAGCAATGTACTATGTGACTTTGGGTAAGTTCCTGGATTTATCTGCACCTCACTTATGAAAAGAATATGTTCAACAATATCATCTCAGATTTTACAACTTTGGGTTAAATACCATGTTGAAGGAATGAGGAAAGACTGAAGGGAATAAAGAAATTTCTAGCATATACCAATTTTTACATTATACATCCAAGTACAGAGAATAAAAATGCTCACAAGTCTAAGTAAATTATTGAAAGATTTTAAGCAGGAAAATGGTTATTTATATATTTTTTTTTTACAGATGACTATAGCTGCTGTGAAGAAAATGGCCTGGAAAGAAGGGCAAAATTGGATGATGTGGCGAGATAGTTTGTCAAGCAAAGTGAAAAGTGACTGTAACTAGGAACAGGAAAATAAAGTAAATATGTAAAGAAATCATTTTACATCTAAGGGAACTAAAGAAGCAGGTTTTGAGTTGAAAGGATCTTCAAGGAAAAAAATAAAAACCACAGTCTAAATTAAATATAAATGGCTAAATGGGTGGACTGAGTCAGTCAGCATGAGTCCAGTGTACCATACATGACACAGATATCTACATCAAAAGTACATTAAATAGAGTATAAGATATAGTCTGGTGTAATAAATAATAATTCAACATCTGTTCTTACAATGTTAAATAAACTGAAGTTTAATCTGCTCATTCCAAAATGTTTAAGATTTTTGAAAGCTACCTGGCTTTAAAACCACAATGGTCAAATGCAGGGATCAACAAATGATAGCTTGCAGGCCAAATCCAGACTATCATCTGTTTTGGTAAATAAAGTTTTATTGGAACATGACCACACATTTTCATTTAAGTATATCTATATAGTATCGGCTTTCATTCTACAATGACAGAGGTAAGTAGCTGTGAGAGATATCATATGACCTGGAAAACCAAAGTTATTTTACTATTTGGCCCTTTACCAAAAAAAACCCAAAAAAAAACAAAACAAAAAAATCCTTGGTCTAGTCTAGAAGATTTGTTTAGTTTGTAAAAATTAATGAATTTCACTTTTTTGCCTTTGGTGAAGAAAACCTGTATCCAAATAAAAGGACTGTAAATCAGCTACCTCTTCTTACGCTCTGAATATACACAAACATAATCACAATCTAGGAACTCACAGACTAGCACCTTCTCTGAATTTAAGTTTTAAAATATGGAGTCATAAAAGTAAATTCCACATGGCTCGCAAATATTACAGTCTAACCAGAACTTTTAAATAGGCTTGTTATTTCTTAATATCCCAAACATCAGGAACTAGCAATAAAATCAATAAGGATAATCTAAGCAGCTATATGTTATGAGAACAATGCTGGTCACAATATTGTCCTAAATTGCATCCAAAGAGATTCACTATTTCTAGGAGATCCTAAGTTGTTCTGGGACTCTAAAGGTGTGTCCCGCTGACAACATAAACAATGCACTTAGGCACCAACTGCTACTATGGAAAATTGAGCAACAGTAGTATACAGGTATCTAGTACACAGATTGTCAAATCCATCTGAGCAATCAGAAAGGATGCTTGTTAAAAAAGATACTCCAGCATTTCACTCCTGTAGACAGTGACAAATTAGACTCAAGAGGCATCTGTATTTTAAAAAAGTTATCCAGATAGCTTTTCAGTAACCTACCAACTGGATTTTACTACTCAGGTTTCAAACAAATTAAAAAATGGAGAGTAAGCATGCTCCATTTTAAAACACAAAAAAGCAGCTTATCTGCATGTTCTTACCTAATTCCATAATGAACCCCAACAGAAAAATTATGTTCCAAAATACTAGATTCAATACAATTCCACAAATAAAACAAAATTCCAATGACATTACTGTAAACAGGTAGAAATGTGTCCTCTGGCAAAAAAAAAAATCATTACTTCATAGAACTTCCAGGAAATAAAACTGTAATTAACCAAACAAACAGTGAGTGGTTTCATTTTGTCCTAACATTTAACATTCATAACTGGAAAATTACATGCTCTTATTTCATGGATACTGTATTTTCATATTCTACCATTTTACTTACAAGTAAAGCACTTGTATCTCCATTTAGTTGACTATCATCTCGAGATTTCACATATCGACGATGGTTTTGATAAAAATTAGACAGTCCATAATACATGAACACATTGCCCTAAAAAAACAGAAAGGGAAAAAATTTTCATATAAAATTATTCAGTATAATCCTGTTTCATACACACACAAAAACTGTATTACTTGGGGCCCATCCCTTCGTGGTGTAACAGGCTGGAGTGCAGCACTATGAACCTGACTGTGGCCACCTCACTGTGAGTTCCATCCCTGGCCCCAGAGCTGACCCATTTGGCATGGCAGACTTCTTCTGACCTGCCTGCTCCTCTCCTCAGCAGTGGACTTCATCGATCTGCCTATTCTGCTTCCCACTCTGTCTCTGGTGAATTCTCTCATAGCCCCTGCACCTCTGGCCTGTCCCCCAGTTCTGTATACATTAATAAATAAAATCTAAAAAAAAAAAAAACTTAAAAAAATTACATTATTTTGGCTTTAAGATTAGAATTTGTGATGACTTAATACAAGTGGTTGGGTAAATACTACCAGTACTTAACAATCTAAAATGGTACAAATTATAAATAAGGTAAAATAATGTTACAAAAATCCATGAGCAAATTTTTGAGAATATTCCTAAAAGACTTCAAAGATATACTTCTTCATTTATTTAAAAAACAAACAAATAAAAAAAAACCTCAAGTATTCTGTTAGCCTACTGTGATCAATAGTAATAGTTTCAAGTTAAAATTGTCTCTAGTTCAGAGAAACCATAAAATACCTGGAAGCAAAGATGGGCCAAACACTACATGACATACACTTCAGTGAATCTTTAAAGATAAAGCACCCAATGCAACGATAGTGAAGGCAAGGATAAATAGATGGGACTACATCAAGTTAAAGAGCTTCTGTATAGCAAAAGAAACATTACAAAACAAACAGACATCACACTGATTGGGAAAAAATTCTCTCACACAAAACGAGTGATGATAAAGGATTGATCACAAAGATATACAAAGAACTGATAAAACGTAACAAAAATAAACAACCCCCTCAAAAATGGGCAGAAGAGCTAAAAAGACACTTCTCCAAAGAGGAAATGCAGATGGCCAACAAGCATTTGAAAAAATGTTCATTATCACTTGTAATAAGGGAGATGCAAATTAAAACCACGATGAGATACCACCTCATCCAAGTGAGAATGGCACATCTTCAAACAACTAGCAACAACAAATGTTGGTGAGGATGTGGAGAAAAAGGAACTCTCCTGCACTGCTGGTGGGAATGCAAACTAGTACAACCACTATAGAAAACTGTTTGGAGGTTCCTCAAACTGCTAAACATGGAGCTTCCCTACGACCCAGCAATACCACTCCTATGTATCTAACCAAAATACACAAAAACATTGATTCAAACAAAAAGATACCTACTGCTTGTTTACTGCTGCCTTATTTGCAATTGGAAAGATATGGAAACAGCCCAAATGCCCAAAAGTAGATGACTGGATTAAAAAGATATGGTACATATACACAATGGAATATTACTCAGCAACCAAAAATAAATAAATAAATAAACACATGCCTTTGCAGCAACATAGATGGAGCTGGAGAAGATTATGCTTAGTGAAATAAGCCAGAAAGAAAAGGAAAAATACCAGATGGTTTCACTCATGGCAGGAGTATAATGGACTAGCCAAGAAAATAATAATAATAGTGAACAGCTATATACCAGAGACATTTTATGGGGGAGGGGTGGGGGGAGGGAAATGCACTGGACTATGGTGATGGCACATGGGTGATTTGGTGATGGGAAGCCGATGGGGATTACAACTGAGATGAAAAAATGCACAAAATGATGTAAAAATAATGTAAAATATAAATTTAAATCTTAAAACTAAAAAATAAAATTTTTTTCTCTAGTTCAGACTGTTCTTTTCCCAATTAGCCTCACTTTTTCAAAATGATAACGGCCAAACTTTCATCTTCTGCTCAAGTAAAAACTGAACTTAAAGTGGTTCATAAATTTTTCAATAGGGGCTCTCCCTGCCAGTGCAATGTTTTAAAGCACATACTGTGCAGTTATCCACAGCCACTGCAGCTAGAGTTTGATTCCCAGTCAGGGAGGAGACCCACATGGCCTGGCAGACCTCTCCTGATCTGCCCACTGCTCCCCTCAGCAGTGTATTTCAGTCCATCTGCTCCCCACTCTGTCTCTGGTGAATCCTCTCGCCCCCCTGTACCTCTGGCCTGTACTCCAGCAGTTCTGTATGCATAAATAAATAAATAAATCTTTAAAAAAAATTTAAATAATTTCTCAACAGGATACTATGTAGTATTAGTAATGAATTTAGTAGTTAGCAAAGCAGCTACAATAATGAATCATTTTTATAATAATCACAAAAAGCATTTCAATATACACAGTGATATCAACTTGGAAATAACTGGTGAAAGAGATCATTCAATGAACTGAGGCCCTCCCTGGTGGCACAGCGGGTTAAAGCACAGCACTGAGAGGCTAAAGCCACTTTCGCATGAGTTCGATCCCCACCTGCCCCGGAGGTGACCACATGGCGTGGCAGACCTCTCCTGACCCGCCCGCTGCTCCCCTCAGCGGTGTACTGCGTCAATCTGCCTGTTCTGCTCCCCGCTCTGTCTCTGGTGAATCCTCTCACCCTCCACATCTCTGACCTGTACCCCAGTTCTGTATCAATAAATAAATAAATCTTTAAAAAAAAAAAAAACTTTAGTTTAAGGACTTTAGTTCAATTTAAAACTTGGGTTTGTAAAGTAATACGGAGCTCACAAGAGTTAAATCTGAGGGCAATCACGTTTGCAGAAATGAAGTTTTGAAATACGTGTTTCTGAATGGAAGGGGAAACTAAAGGAGCTTCTAAATCATTCAAGGTCTCTTTAATTTCTTTAACACTTCTCAAAAAAGCAGAATTTAATGCAATTTTACAATTTGTTCATCACATTGAAGAATGGAATTTTTAATGCTTTAAATCTATATACTATGTCTGCTGAAATAAAGTAAGACAGTTAAAATGCCATCTCCACCTCAATTCGTTTCATATTTTTTCAAAGGCAAGGTTATTATCCTTTATTTAGTTGCAAAAGTATCTACAACCACTAGATGGCAACCATCAAATCTATTGTAACATACCCTTCAAAAATCAACCACTACCTTTAAGAAGTCTAGAGTGTAGAAAAATGTAAAAAGTTGGTATCTATCAAAGTAGGTTTGTACCCTAAGGAATATAAAAAAAAAACTCAAGCTGACTGTTAAGGGCATAAAATGGGATTTTGAAATGCCCACACTCAACCTTTATGTCTTTTAACATCTGCTCAGTTATCAAGAACAGCAAGAAAGTGAATGCAAAAGACACATAAACACATACACAGAGTTCTAACTACTTATTACAATATAAAAGATCAATAAGATTTCACTTAGTATTTTATATATTGTTATGTTTCATATCTGATAGAAAAAAAAAGAAAAATAAAATGATAGAATTGGTTGTTATAATTTAAAGTACATGTTTCAACATACAAAATAGATAAAACAATTTGAACAACCATTTTTAAAAATCAAATATATGTAGATATAAGTTTGATAAAAAATTAACTATAGTTACAAGTTTTACAGTGAAAAAGTAAAATACATTTTAATTATTTTCACAAAATACCAAACTATTTAAATGCATGTATTTAATTACCAAACAGCAAAATATAACTGAACACATAAAAGCATGGCTTTCTAAAAATAGTTGGGAATACAGACCTCAAATGACTGTTCCAATGTGAAGTTAATGGTACAAATGCAGGGTGTTGCATTCAGAGACAAACATTTATAGCAGGGACTGGAAGGATCTGTTCCGGTATAATCAATCTGCAAGGGAAAAATATAGAAAATTTGCCTTAGAGAAAGTAAATATACACTGAAAAAAAATAGCTATGAAAAAGAAAAATGAGCCCAACATATACTGCAGTGAATGAATCTGCAGTCTGGAAAATTGTTTTTAAGGTCATCTATTTTACAGTGTAAGGTAGTAAAACTAGAATAGGTTGATATTCTACTGACTCATCTTTCCAAGGCAGTTCCTCTCTCCTTTTTCCCAAAAGAAATGTACTTGTGGATAACATCATAAATAAAGAACTCAAACTATCTATGTAAATATTTAAGTAGCTATAAAGTCTAACTGATTAAAGTATCAATTAATACAGAAATGAGTAGTTACTGCTTTTAAATTTCCCAATCTTAAATACTTTTCAGTTGACTCAATTTTCTATAATACATTCTCAAGTAAAAAAGTAGGTCCCTCGGGCCCTCCTTGGTGGCACAGCGGGTTATAGCACAGCACTATGAAGCTATTGCAACCACTGCAGCATGAGCTCAACCCCCGGCCAGGGAGGTGACCCACATGGCCTTGCAGACCTCTCCTGGCCGCCCGTTGCTCCCCTCAGCAGTATATTTCAGTCCATATGTCTGTTCTGCTCCTCACTCTGTCTCTGGTGAATCCTCTCATCCTCCACACCTCTGGCCGGTACCCCAGTTCTGTATGATAAATAAATAAATCTTAAAAAAAAAAGTAGGTTCTGAAGTGTTAAGTATTTTTAAAATTCTAGTGTTGTAGAATGAAGAATATGTTTTGTCTTTGTTCAGTGTTCTTGGCAGGGAGCTTCTAAAACCCTTAGAATTTCCAAAATTACAGTAGTATTTTTGCTTTTGACAAGACACTTGATCCACATCAGAATTTATGCTAAGGAACTGGCTGAAAATGGAGATGGCTGCTCATCAGACCACATTTGATTAGTAACTTCTAACCTCTACAGAAAGGAAGGTTGGAAAACTAGTTGAATCCCATAGCCAATGTGTAGTCTACCATTAAATCCCCAAAGAAACTCTGGAGACCAAAGCACAGGGGCACTTCCTGGCTGGTTAACCCATCCAAGTGCATGGAGAATAATGTCTCCTGATTCCACAAAAAAATAGCATCTCCTAGAAAAATAGATTCTCCTAGACCTTCCCCTTACATGTCTCTTCATGTGACTGGTAACGTATCACTTACAATGAAGTTAATCATAAGAACAGCATAAAAGGCATCCTGGCTTTTCCCAAGGTCTGAGAATTATGAAAAAAACTGGTAAAAACACATGTACAGCTTTTTGTGTGGGCATAAGTTTTCAGCCTATTTGGATAGAATCCAAGGAGTAGATGTGCTGAATTGTATGGTAAGAATACATTTAGTTTTGTAAGAAATTGCCAAACTGTCTTCCAAAGTGGTTGTTCCACTTTGCATGCCTACCAACAATGAAAGGCAAGTGCCTATTGCTTCACATCCTCCCCAGCATTTAGTGTCAGTGTTTTGGATTTTCATCATTCTAATAGGTATGTAGTGGTATGTCACTGTTGTTTTTACTTACAACTCTACAGTGAATTTCATATACCTGTTTTCATATACTAACTTGACATCTGTAAATTATGGGCTGAATGTACACACACCCCCAGCCCCATGGGAGTTCTGACTCCCTACATGATGGTATTTTAGAAGTAGAGCCACTGGAAGATGATTAAGTTTAAATGAGGTCTTGAAGGTAAGTATCCCATGATGAGGTTACCGTCTTTAGGAAAAAAAAGAGAAACCAGAGCTCTTTCTCTATCATGTAAGGACTAAGAAGCAGATCATCTGCAAGCCAAGAAGAGGGTTCTCATCAGGAACTGAATCTACCAGCACCTTGATCTTGAATTTAGGAGGTTCCAAAACTGAGCAATTGTTTAAACCACCCACTGTTATGTATTTTCTTTTTTTTTTAAAAAAGATTTATTTATTTATACATATAGAACTGGGGTACAGGCCAGAGGTGCAGGGGCAGAGAGGAGCAGGACAGGCAGATCATCCAAGTACATTGCTGAGCGGAGCAGTGGGCAGGTCAGGAGAGGTCTGCCTCGCCATGTGGTCACCTCCAGGGCAGGCGGAGATCGAACTCATGCGAAAATTTTTTTTTTTTAGCTTCTCAGTGCTGTGCTTCAACCTGCTGCGCCACCAGGGAGGGCCCACTGTATATATTTTCATAGCAGTCTGAACATAGATTTTGGTACCATAAAATGAGGTACCATTGTGACATATACTTTAAAAAAGATTGTAGAAGTGACTTTGGAACTAGGTAATGGGTACCAACTGGAGATTTCAAAGGACTGCTAGAACATGAGCATTAAGGGTGACTCTAATGAAAATCCAGAAAAAGAAGAGACAAGTTAGAAAGTTCCCCTTTTCTTAGAGAATATATACATATTCATGTTGTAGAAACATGGATAGTATAGGCCATGGCAGTGAAGTCTCATGGAAAAGAGGAATATGTTTATTGGACAATGGAAAAAAGATAACCTTTGTTACAAAGTAATACAGTATTTGGTTCAATTGTGTTCTAATATTTTGGGAAGACAGAAATTGTTGAGGGAAGAAATCAGGTATTCAGTTAAGGTGTCTGAAAGTGTTGAAGAAGTGGCTTGGTTCCACTTGACTAATAGTAAAATGCAAGAAGAGAGAAATAACTGGAAGGAATTGTTAAGGAAATGTGATCAAAACTTAAAAGACATGGAAAATTCTCAAGTCTTATATTGCAAATTAATGAGAAAACTTGTTCCAAAAAATATATATTGAGTGTGTAGCTGAACATATACTTGATAAAGACATCAGTATGATACGAACCATAGATCTAAATCAGTCACAGCAGAGAAATTCTTAGATCTTACAGAACTGAACAGGAGTTATTCAAGTGCAAAAGTGTACTGTTCTTCAAAACAGGTTAAGAATAACCCCAAAGAGAAATCAGAGACCCCAAGGTCATACATTCATTTTGAGTGAGGAGAAGGGATATTCAAAAGGCCAGATGGCAACAGCCTAGATAGAGCCTTGGAAGAACAACCAGAGGTTTAGCAGTGACCAGTAATCTGTGGTGTCCTTTCCTGCAGCTGCATTACTCCATCTCGGCTGGGGCTGTTACATAATTCTCCCTTTCTCAGTCTTCATATCATCTTTCCTCAGTGCAAGTCTGTCTCTTAAAGTCATCAGTTAGACCAAACAGGGCAGATCTTAATGACTTTATCGTGATTACATTTGTATAAATCTTTCTAAATAAAGTCACATTCACAGGAACCACAAGGTTAGGATTACAATGTATATTTTGGGGGGACAGAATTTAATTTGTCATTTAAATGACAGAATTATATCTGTCTAGCTCCAAAGCTGCTGTCTCACTAGACTACACTGCCACTTCCTAGAATCTTCAATAAGCTGCACCAAAGCATAACTAAGAAATATGGTGGTTAATGTAAAAAACATTTTAAAATAAAATCGGTATCACTCATTAGTATGCTGATGTTTAAGGTGTTCTTCCATACCCTCAGATTTTTCACCTAAAATTAAAATTAAAAACAACTTCCATTCGAGGATCATCTTAACTAAGAGTTTGAAATATAAAACTGTTAATACAAACTTTCTTAACAAAGATTTTACATATGGCATTTAACTTCCATGAACAAAAAATTAAATTCCAACATGAAGACTAAGCTTACCCCTCAAAAGTTTTACTAAGAAAAAAGTCGTATTATGGTGTCAAGTTATAAAAACTGCCTAGACAGGACTGATGAAGAGCTCTGCTAAATATCTTCCAATCTATATGACAGAGTTGACTAAAATAACAAATAAATGAATAAAGCAAATTCTATAGAGATTACTTTCAGGAAACACATGATCTTCATTAGATAAACACTATTTTCATAGTCATAAAACTAGTAATTCAAATATTAGTGGCTCTTAACCTTTGTCTCCAGTGCTACCCTCCTCACAACAACCTTCAGACTGTCTCAGATTATATACCATCTACTGTGATACCACCCTCTCTAAGCCATCTCTGGTCTTTTCTCCACCCCCAGTCCCATTTTTATATTCCTAGATATATATGAGTTTCTTCCTTCCCTCTTGAAACACTTACCATCTCTAATTCAAATATACATGGTGACATTTTGAAAAATAAGATATGTAAGTTTATTAAACATTTTGGTTATGTTTCACTAAGAACCTGACTTCAAAAAAATTCATACTGACAATTTAGTGATTCTCTTACCCTTACACCCAGCTGTGGACTTTAGATTGATAACTATATATGGGTATCATCATTGTTCCAGTACCCAAGCTCAAAATACTAAGATCAGTTTTTGGCATCTGTCCCCAATTCTTCCTTTTCAATCTATTTAGTACCCTTGAATTTCACTCTCATTACTTCCTACTATAGATCAAACTTTAAGACTTTGCACCAGTTTTTTAAAAGGGAGAATAGCACATTATACTTTTTTAAAAATCTAGATTTAATATCTAAATCATTTCTTTAGTCTCAGAAAGTAGGCTGTATGTGTCACTGTATGTCTAAGTGACAAAGTTCTTAGCAAAAATGTTAGTCATTAATATTTTATTATTAATTAGAATCAACATGATGTTTTCATTTTTTAAGAAAAATTAGAACACACACTAAACAAAGATGGGAAAAGAGACTTAATAAGATGAATTATATTCAACAGTCTATTACTTGTTTTTTAAACATATGCCTGATTTGCCTTCAACATAGAAAATACCAATTAATGCCTTTCACTATGAAATAAAGTTCAACTCAATTAATAAAATTCACATTAAAATGAAAACAATATTCAGTGTTTAAATGACTAACCTCCTGAATCTAGATGATTCAGAGTTGTCAGAAAAGTCATGGTGTTTTTTTTCTATTTTCTATGTAAAAATGTGCCATAACTTTTTTGACAACCCAATAACTCCCATCCAGCCAATATAACACACCACTATCAGATAAATCTTCCTTTATGCAACACTGCACTAT